GCCCAGTCGGAGCAGAACAGCCGGGTGTTAAACTTCATTTGATTTCCTATTATACTTTTAGCTCAATTGATATTCTGACCGAAACACGGGTGCTGGCACATTGAGTAAGGCGATGCTTTACGAACCTCATGATTATTTTAAGGGTGGCTTCTTTTTGTCGGCGGTAATGATCACAGGGTGGTGGGGTTGGGCGCTGGCAAGGAAAAGCTGTTTGCCGTTCATATGGAACGACAAACAGGTATCCAGCGTACAGGTTGGTCTGCACGTTAAATGAATATGTACGGGCATACACTGCATGGCACATGTTCGTTTTCATTACGATGTTAAGCTTCATTTTATTTCAAAATTCTTACAGATGTAAGAATGAAGAAATCTTGACAATGGAAACTCTAACAACTTAATATGAATGAATAAAACCATTTTTTCAATCAGTGGTTCTACATTGTATAAATCCCATCATGATTGTTATGCAAGCTTTTAAATCTCCCCAAAGACCACTAAATAAACATGGAAAATAAATTGTTTTTTAATAGGATGTAGGTGTTTTGAGCTTCTCCGCAATACATGTAAACACAACCTTCTTATTCCATTAATAATATAGTTTAATACCTGACAAGGTACCTCTCAGCGATATAATTAACGTTTCTAATATTATAGCTCACGCAGGGGAGAGTGGGCGTGTGCTTTAGATCATAAGGTCTGTCAATGAGCCAACCCCTGTGGTTTTGATTCCCAGCTAGGTCGCCTGTCTAAACTGGTGGGTTTTCTGCTCGTTCTCCGGTTTTCTCCTAATCCTAAGGACCATAAGCGCAAGGGAATTACTGGAATACACTTGAACCATTTACTAATGTTTATTTAGAATTGTAAATGGCGTTTCTGATATTAAACCGAAACCTTTTTCATTATATATGCAATGCGGGGTTTTGCCGAACTTAAGTTCATTTAGAATTGTGAAATATTTAAGACATCTGATTAGAATCTTCAATGAGTGTGTGGTCTAAGTTTAACTAGTTTTTTCTCGAGTGTGTTTAATGAGAGATTATCAGGTTTAGAATTTCAAATGCCAATGTCGAGGATTAATACAAACATAGTGTAACAAGTATAGGTTATATTGACGAGTTTGGACAGCAGGCACGTGTAAAACATATACCTGTTAATATATACATACAGTAAAAGACGTAGGTGTAGATTACTAACCCGATGTAGTGGTCAGGTGAATTACTACTACATCATATATCTTTTTATTCCACTGAGAAATATACAAAATTACAACAAAGAATGTTAACCATTTGAATATCACATAAAACTGATAAATGGAACCAGGTTTTCTAGAATATACATGTAATCGGGCTCTGGCACGGCCAAAGCTCAATGAAATGGCAGTTAACAGGGACAGATCTCAGTATTACATTGCGTAGAACAAATATTCTCGAATTATAATTAGTGTTTTCGACTAAAATCGTCGATGTAGGCATTGTAGTTTGTATATATTTTTATGTGTGCAATGTGAGTGGGCGAGTTACGTCCTGAAAGCATAGTTCCTGCTTGTACTGCAAATTGCAATAGTCAAAGAGTCTGTTATGTGTTCATGCGACTTCGCTTTAATTGTGTATACATCCGATCTACAAGATACATTTACTCGTTAGCCCCGCAAGCGCCATATTTTACAAGTAGGAACTAGACTTGACATATTCAGCAGATCTGAACCGCGAACATTCCTAACCACACCACCACATGCAGCGGTCCACACGGTTCGGATTAAATTCCAGAATATCGCTTCATAAAACAGCAGATTGTATCGTCGCTGACCAGGTAGAAATTTTCGAATAGCACAGTGTCTACATTAGTCATGTTGGTTGGACAAAAATAATACGTTTAATCCCATTTCATTTCACTACATTGTTAAAATATTTAATAGTTAGAGAAAAAACAGTTGTATGATACAAAGAACAGAAAACATAATGCAATTATCAATTGTATTCAATAGATTCACATTGCTACCAATAAAGTTTTTATATGATAACATGTATTCGACATTGAAATACTGTTCCTTTCACATGCAACAAATTTCGGATTTCGTGACAAGGCATGCAAATTTTGCAAATTCACATCTCCGAGGTATTGAAGTATCTATCGTGATATCCAATTTTCCTCATAATTGTGATTTTAACATGACTCGTGCACATCAATAAAATAAAATTCCAAGGCATTATTGAACATTAATGTGATATATTGGAACCCAAGAAACGATATCCTTCAACTGAAAGAGTTTCTGTAATTTTGAGTTTAATTTCTCGACCATTCTGGGGTTTTATTTTTTACCACCTTCAAATATGCTGGTCGGTTGTGTCATAGCCATAATAACTAAATCTATACAAACATGTTACAACTACGTTCTTCCATAGAAAAGAACTTCATCTACTACTGATTCGAATGTCTCTGTCTTTGTGTATTAATAAAATATAATATATTGAGAAATTGACGGAGAAATTCCAATGACGAATTCAACAATATACATGAATGCATCTTAACTATACACATAACACGAATCTCAAAATTAGATGGGTAGTATTTAGAGCAGGCCTAAACTAAAACAAAGATGTCTGCCTTTTTCCAATCTTATAATTTAAATGGAGAACATGTAATTGCTTTCTAATTGACATAATTAAAACCAAACATGCCACATACATTTTTTATGTAAAAATTGCGGCCAAACTAAACACCATTTTTTTGTTTGTCATTTCTCTAAATCGGAAAAAAAACTCTTTTGTAGATATGTAGAAGTATCTGAACCGATGCAAATTTACATACACCTGACTTTTATTATGCTGGAATGGTGGTGTTGTGCAACCCCACATAAATTGTCTTTAGAATACTGACTTACCACGTCATTTTGAATTGGTGGTGTTGTGCAACCCAACATAATTTATCTGACTAACCACGTCATGCTGACATGGTGGTGCTGTACAGACCACATAAACTATCTTTAGAATACTAGCTAACCACGTTATACTGGAATGTTGGTGCTGTGCAACCCCACATAAATTGTCTTCAGAATCCTGAATAACAACGTCATGTTGACATGGTGGTGTTGTGCAGACCAAATTGTTTTTAGAATCCTGACTAACCACGTCATGATGTAATGGCGGTGTTGTGCAGACCCACACAAATTGTCTTTAGAATCCAGACTAACCACGTCACAGGCCCGGCGGAATGCGGGAGCTAGCACTTAGGTACAACGAGGTCTGATTTTAACATAGAAGTGAGACTTCTATGCTCTATACTGAGGGTCACTATTAGTTAACTAAACAGCCGATATTTATTTCAACCCCATCTAATTTCCGGTGTATCTATGACAGATTAGGTAATTAAAAAAAAAACGACGGGATGGAGTTTTTCGCACCCTCTTTCCCCGTGTCCCTTACCTATCAAATAATAATTCACTGCTATCAGTAATGACCAGTTAAAACAAGCGGCTGCCATGTAAAATTTTCCAAGAAATGTATGGGGAAGAGGTAAAATCAATAGGGCTTATCCTCTCATTCAAGAACTTTTGATCCTTAACATATTTGTGCAGTTTCATCAGAATGGAACAATAATTGTAGCCTCCCTAGAGGACCTAAAATTCATACATATTTCACATTTTGAATAGAAAGCAGGGACTATAGGTTACGTCTGATGCGTACCAAAGTCGAATTCATCCAAGAACTTTTGATCCTTAACACATAGTGAAATGAATCGGACAAAAATTGTTGCCCCAGGAAGGTCTACAAAATTCATTCATATTTCACATTATGCGTAAAAGGCAGGGTGTTTTAAGTTCATCTAAATGGGATAAAAAAAATCTGACCTCTAGATTGTCCACAACCTTAGCATTACATGCTTAGATTGTCCACAACCTTAGCATTAAATGTTTTTATACTATTTGAGTAAAGGGGAGTGGCCATTTGACTGAAAGTTTCGGTCCCATCTTCAGGAAATTCGGACGGAACCATAATTATGATGTAACTGTGATATATTTAACCGGTTTTTAAAATAAGATAAAAATGGTGACCTCAAGCTAAAAAAGTGATATTTCGTACAAGCAGGGGTCATAATCCAGAAAGTTACGCGCCAATATCAAAAGGTACCCAGAGATTTGGGATTTCAAAATTGGATGAAAATTCAAACCTCTAGATGACCAACAACCTGGATATTACATGTTTTAAGGGTAGCGGCCATTTTGTTGGGTTGTTTCGGTCCGATTTTCACGAAATTTGAACTCAGTCGTATTTATGGTATATTTGACAATCAAATAAAAACTGTGAGGTCTAGACAGACCAACATAAAATGTCTTTATAGTCCAGACTAACCACGTTATGCCTCAGAAAGTTTTTGCCACTCCCGATTAATAAGCCGCTCAAACGGTGCTGTCGTGCAGCCCCATATAAATGTTCCTGAGAAATCTCCATGCCCAACCACACTATGTTAAAATGAAGGTGTTTAGAGTGAAATGTAATTAATGAATAAAAACACGTATTTATAATGAAGGTTCGCGTATGCAAATTATCGAATTCTTTCTTAATGGAAATAATATATTGCTTAAATGTTCATTAATGAAGCCAATTATAAAGTTTATATATATATATATATATATATATATATATATATATATATATGCGTAGTGAAAGTGGTTAACTTTCTATTTCGATATGCATGAACACCCTACACCCTCTTTTTATCGTTATCATTATAGAGAAAGAAAGCTTGTTAATGAGCTATTCGAGTTCAAACCAAGTCAAATTGAATGCATTTGGTTAGATACCAGAAATTACATAAGTTTATTAAAGTGAAGTGTTTCATATTAATACGACTATTAATGTCAATAATTGAACTGTAAAATATAACAATTACTTATTTCCTAGCAGTACTGGTACGAAAGTATTCTAATGATGGTTATCTATATGTATCTATCTTATTGTTTAATAGTTATATATGCCATTATCTATATGCATGCTTACCTTTCAAAGGACACAGTATTTGTCACTCTTACTGAAACAATTCTTCTTATTCAGCAATACACATAGTATATAATCCACAAGAATATACATAAATATAGTAGAAAATTCGCCTGACAAATATACGCTACCCACAATGAAAATCACTATGAATAGTGAACTTGTCATGTAAAACTTATATACAGTTACATGAAATCACAATGTGTTGTATTTACAATTCTCTATTCAATATCCAGATATACTGTTACAAATACACCAAAAATATGTCTTACAAGAAATCCTGAAATTTGATGCGCATGCATTAAACAACATGTGTAAATTATATCCCACGTTGTGTTCCCTAATAGACAACACAGGAGACCGGCGTCATGTAATAGAACTAACAGAGAGCGCGGGGAACTGCACGCGCGCTGTCAGCTTGACGCGTCAATCAAAAAATATTAGCCAATCAAATTTTTATGAATAATAAAACGGGTGTGGCATCAGATAGTTGTACTTTCAACAGACTTACGCCTGAGCGACAGACACTTCATATCAAATCGTTAATCTCGATTATCAATTAATAATGGAGATGTTCAGCGAGTGGATGAATGAGTTAAATTAGCAACGAGGTGTAACACGGATAAGCGTTTCAAACTTAACGTTAGCCACATGTCAATTAATAATAGATCATTCAAGTGTATTGGATACTATTACAGTTGGAACTAACAAAAACACATAACGTCTATTGTGCACGACACAGATGCGATACTACAATGACGAAGGAAATATATGTTTTTTGCCTACTTTTCCTAATTTCCCGTTCGTTGTTTAAATTCACCCCGTCCTACAACGAACTCTACGTGCTCCTTCCGAATTGTCTGTCTTGACCGAGAAAGTTCCTCGGATTTTCCCTTGTCAGTGGTGCAGGACAAAGAGACTGACAAGGAACAACGTCTAGTCGTTCAGATGATACGGAAAATCGAAGCCCCGTGCACACAATGGTGTGTACGTAAACGCAACCTTTGAGAGTTGAAAGTTAGACGTAGCGCCGCTGTCTGGGCAAAATGTCGTTTATAGCACACTGTACATTGACGTCGATGACATAGTCTGGAGGCTCAGTGCGCGGGGGTGTCCATCAAATGGGCACAAAACCATGCGTAGAATACGATGCCGAGTGGTAATCAGTCCGCATTTGGGGCGTTTTCGAGATATTCGGGGTCAAAGGTCAAATGAGGTCATTTGCACTGAAAGTGAATTCGCAGCCATTCTTATATATCATGAAAACATGCTGAAAATGATCAAAAGTAATCACTCTTTCAATAAAAATGTAAACTTGCTAAACTCACCTTTGTTCTTTGTGACCCCAGAGGTCCAAAGGTCCAATTTTCCGTTTTTGCACTCGGAAGATTTAAAGCGTAAAATATAAAAACTAAAGCGAAACCTGTTCTAATTAATAATAGGAACATTTCAAACGTATCTTTAGGTGGTCTTAGCACCGAACTTTTACTTTGGAACGTCAAAAAGATCTTGTATAACAGAACCAAAACACTTTTTGTTTCAAAAATAGGTAAAAACTATCAAATCAAAATCTCTCCGATTTAGTTTCACAACGATTGCTATACATAATGATACTAGGAACATTTAAAACTTATCTTTAGGTGGTCTTAGCACCGTACATTTACTTTGTAACGTCGAAAATGATCTTGTATAATAGAACCAAAACACTTCGAAATCTATTAAAAAAAAACCCCCCAAAAAACCCCGTAAAAACTGTCAAATCGAAATCTCCCCGATTTAGTTTAACAACGATTGTTTTACATAATGAAACTAGTTGTCGGAAAACAATTGAATAGTTTCGAAAACGCCCCAACGGCGGACTGATTACCACTCGGCATCATATTCTACGCAAAACTTTACTCTAGAAAAGTTGGGTCTGATTTTGTGCCCATTTGATCGACCCCCCCCCCCCCCCGCACTGAGTCCCGGTCTAACACTGTACGTCAGTCAGATCAAGGGAGGTAACTAAGAAAATCTGTTTTAAATTTGAGCCCCAGAAGAAAGTGTGCCGCCTCGAAAAATTAAAATTTAATATCGAAAATGTATGTGTCAGATCTTGTTTTGCGTACAACTGCATTTATTTTTTCAAAGTTAGCATTGTCTCATATTAGATAGTACACCCTTCACTACCACTTGCGCCTGTAACCTGTAAAATCGCTTTCAAATATAACATTAAGCTGGGACTAAGCATAGCCTCAAGCCCGTTAAAGCTCGATGCCGACATTTGCAATTTTGCTTAAATACCAAATTTCTCACTGCTTAAAACACGCTAAATCTGTACTCGGATTAATTACTTAACTTTAATGAATAAAACAAAATCAAAAATACCAACTCTAGATAATCTGCCGGCTTTAATCGGATTTAAACTAGGCCTATCAGGTTTATGTGCTACAAATAAAAGATGGCGTCGTCTTGTTATGCGCTCGAGCAGCATAGATCCATGGAATTTCTATTTATCATAACTTTGTTAATACTGAACGGAGTTGAACCATTTTTAAACTGATTTTCCTGGCAATGGACAACGTATATTCGTGTACACATAGGCGTGCGCGTAAAATATCCCTTGACAGTTGGAATTCGATATAAGAGTAGGACGTATTGCCGCTGTCCGGGCAAAATGTCCCTCATAGTACACTGTATGTCCGTCTTCATTAGCCTAGTCGAAGCAGACCGGTAGGACGTTAGGTCCCATTTCATTTCGTTTCCTATCAGAGATTAAACTTTCACAATATGGTAGTTTGCAAGGGTTTTATATAGCGCTAAATAACGCACCGAACCTTTCAGTTCATATAAGTGAGATAATCAAATTCCATTCAAAGGACTGGGCACGACAATGATTCAGAAGCCGAAATTTGCAGGTAGAAATTCCACATCACCAGTTTTAAGTACAACTAAGTGAACTTCTTGTGTGTTTTACTAAGAGTAAACGCACATGAACCTTAGGCCTACACAGCACCTGTTGTTATTTGAAGCGATTGTTCAAACCTGGAATTTTAGAACCTGAAGCCACAGCGGTTTGGAAAGTAGCGCTCTGCGTATGATATCGCTGACAAAACAGTGCACTTGGCATCTATAAAGCAAAGAACAGAATCATGACCGAAAGACTAGGCGTCACACACTCGAATGTCAAGACAATTGTTGGAGAACTGATCTTTAATGCCATTGGGGAATGTGCATCATTCTTTTCTAATAATTATACTTGGCTAATTGTCGACGTCGAACATCTTGAAATACAATAGTAATTACGTAAATAATTGCATCATCCTTTGAGCTCCAATTCTGCAATATTGTTATGTTGAATCTCCCTCAAAACAGTTCAATTCGGTTCACTATTTACACAAATAAAAATTATGACGAATTAAAAATGTTAACACAAAAACATTTTGACCCTTATATAATAATTGTACTTAAAATACAACCGTGTTCACGTGACAAGGAGTAGGGTCGCCTGTCCAACCTCGTGGGTTTTCTCTGGGTCCTCTGGTTTCCTCCCACTGCTAAAGACCCCAACGCGCAAGCGAATTATTGAAATAAAATTAAACCATATTTTAGTCCCACAATGACCTAATTTGTGTCGAGTGGACGTTTAACCCCATCTCTCTCCCTCTCTCTCTCTCCAACCGTGTTTGCTATAGATACCAATATTGAACACTCCAACTTCGATAACGCCTATGTTAAATAGTCCAAAGCTCAAAGCAATATTTTTTTTTATTAAAAAGCAATATTTTATCCATAAATGAATGGGATTGGAGAACATTCATGGCCAATTGAACCCCTCACCTAGAATTTTTGTTTTTGTAACAACTAAATAACACTATGTTGGAGTTGTATCATTTATGTAAGTAAATATGGCAATGCATAGTTTATTTCCACAAATATTAGACGCAATGAACCAGAATTGTGATTTTTCTCTTATAAAATCGGCCAAACAGTTTGTTCGACCCCAACCTCTCCAATTGGCAAGAATAGGCAGGCCTCTGCATGCGTCTCGCTAGGAATAATTTGTTACTTACTGTTCATTTAAGGGAGGAAACCGTAGCCATCGTAAATGCATGTATTGTTTCAGAAGCGTATATTTTTGTACTCTTGCCGTCATATTTTTTTTATTATTTTCCGTTATGTTTATTGAATCAGGCACATTTTTGTTATTTATTGATTAGATAATCGACGAAAATTTCTTAAAAGTGTTTGACTCGCAATGTTTATACGCTGCTGTGCTAGAGCCTGTAAATACGGTTCATACCTCCTTCTTTCACCGGTATAAAGAATCTAAGAATAATCACTAGCTCACTAGAATCTAGTTCAATCTAACATCAAATTACGGCACTGATTCCATACATATTTATGACATTCTTGTATCACAAGGCGTCTAATCTGATTTTATATGTGGACTAATTCAACTTGATGAATGTATCTCTTTCCAATTTACTACCAGAATAATCACAGAGTTCCAATACAATTAAGTTACATACGTCTATAGAGATTGGAGCGACCGTTGTTAGATTTTATAATCAGGATTATAGTTTAAGAATTGAACGAAATGTTGTTTTACACATCAACATTAATAATTACAACATTAATAATTATTTGTATGATTTATTTGCTTTAGCTCCAAACGCAAGTCAGGTGGGAAAATTAGCCAGATGCCATCATCATTTACAACCTAGCCGTGCATCGTGGGTTCAACTGTAATTCTGTCAAGTCAGTATCATCAATACTTGGTAGATGCATGTGTATTTTGAGAGTGGCCCAACTTGGAGCTGGTGATTAGTCAGGAAGCTAATTGTAAAGTTTCTTGTCCGTGGTATCCTACTCATTTGCAGCGCACTGGCGGTCCTACTAATCTCTGACAAGAACCGATTACATCCGACAAGAGTCTTTTAACATTGTCGCACAAAGTATTGGAATAGTGAAATGAGATGGGGTTTAACGTCCCATCCGAACAACCAGACACTGTCTTTTAAAGTGCTTAAACGGATGAAATATTTGTGTAACTAGTTTCTTAAATAATCATCAGAGGAAAAGACGGTGTGGGGCGTTAACGCCCACTCGACACAATCCGGGTTATTTCGAAACTAACATTTATAGTTCAATTTTATTTCAATAACTCGCTTGCGTGTAGGAGTCTTTAAGCAGTGGGGAAAACCGGAGGACCGAGAGAAAAACCATGAGATTGGACAGGCAACCTTACACCTTGTCACGCACAAGCGGGGAATCGAAATCACGCTACTTGTCTCAATGACAAACCTTATGATTAAACGCGCATGCGTTAACCGCCCACACACTAATTATCATAGAATATTATTTGATATTAATTACGG